TGATCGAAATTCGGTTTCGAGGTCATGTCTCTTGATGTCTTCAAGTTTATTCAGGTGGGTTTGTGGCGGAGTCCGAGAATTATCATTTTCTCCCCGTTTTTTTCATAGTTTAATATCCAGAGTGCAATTTCCAACATGTCGAAAAGGTACGTAAGCAGTTGTTTGCGATTAAGTCATTTGAAACATTGTTTCATTCTTGCTGTCAAGAGAAGCGAATTAAAAGTTTTCCTAATCTCAGATTCAAATGATTTGAGCGGTTAATCCGACGCGGTGCTCACCGCGCTCACAAACAGTCGCTTCGGCGGCCTATTTTTCTTAAAGGCTTCCCAGTTATTAGTTTGGGTTAATTTCAACTGGTCTTTAAGTTATAACGGAGGATTTGTGTTAAGCCGAATTTCCGTTAGGTTCTGCCGATAGGAAATTGTCGTGGAATTCTGAATGTCCAATGACTTGCCTGGTTGAGTGGACATGTGATCTCCCACCACCGAACTTGCGGCCCGCTTAGCGCTCATACGTCCTTTAATCGCACTCAGAGGGCACTAGAAGGGCTATATGCTCACTATAAGTATAGACAACACCGAGAATTAAACCAGGAATTTACCGGCCGATCGAAATTAATTATAATCGGACCATGGCGTCCAGGATCTTATAGATACTCACTGTATCATAAACGGCATATTTTTATTCCGTCACTACGTTTAATTGAAGACTTTTGTGGAATTTCCAAGCGGACATGCTGCTACATGAAGCTCCTGTAACAACGATAATGAAACATAAATTGCTTCTCCGGAAATCATGGGTATACAGTATACACAGTGCATAACTCATAAACACAAGATGTCAATTCGCATATCTGGAGATACTTTTTAAGGTAAACCAGAAAGCTTAGTTTAAGACAGTGATTTATCAAAAATATTTAAAAGAAATAGTTACAGTCAATAATTTAATCCGTAGCCAGAAATACTGAGACGTTCCTGCTTTTAGTGGCGCCAACAAAATACAAATTTTATAATAATATCGACCTAAAAATGCTTAATATTATTGCTATTTTCACTGTATTTTATTATAACTCGTGTTTGTTAAAAAATGAATCGCCGAATAGAGTGAATTAAAATTAATCGTCAAGAATGATCCCAGATTATTTCAGCCATTATTATAAGCAACACATTCTACGGAATCCAAAACTCAAGTTATTTCCGGGCCTAACCTTTAGATCATCTCCCCAAACTAAATTTAGCACCGATGATCAAGATAGTAAAGTACCTGATTACCTGGTAGAATGTAGAATTACCTGGTAGAATGTAGGATTACACACGAACCCTCCCACTTATAATTGAGAACCGTGATAGACATGATCAGCCATGTTCAGACTTAATTGCTAAAGATGCGTACTCGATAGTCGATACAGGTTCAGGTGGCTACAATAAATTCAGTGACCTAACCGATTAACATCGATTAGCTACCGCTTATTGATCCAGCAACCAGGTCTAGCTTCTTCTCTTCACCAAAATTGGATCCCTGAAAGGCTCCAGTCTACACCACTAGACTAGATACATTGTCAGGGCTTGTCTCCCAGGTCTACGTTCCGGGTTCGTGGCGGGCTGTGGTCCGGTGGGTAGCTGGGCACGCGAGCTCCACGTCCCATCAGATAATCGCTCCCTATTCTCTGATATTAGGAGCTATTATCGGTCGTATCAAGACGAGATCGCGCCACAATGCCTGAAGTAAGTTGGCCGGTAACGTGGATATCTGTTCGGAGAAGCATAATAGTAGCGTTAGTAAACCAGATAGGAGAGAGAGAGGGAGGAGAGAGAGAGAAAGAGAGAGGAGAGAGAGAGAGAGAGAGGACACATACTAAGCTACAGTCAACAGTCTGTTCATTTTCCGCTTTATCCGATTCTAAGATTCTACATCAGGGATAGTTCCCTCCAGTATCTGTGGATCTGTGGTTCGAGGCCGGAGGTATGCGTTACTTGCAGTCTACGATTTGACCACTATTCGCAGCGTGTCTGCTGGTAAATAAGGCGGACGTCTCATGTGTCTCACTATTGACGTGAAAACTCTCTTCCACACCGCATTCAAGTAGCTTTCATAATCAACGTTTAACCCCATAGGCTCCCCTGCATTCTTTAGCTGGTTGTATTGCGGTGCACTGTGTCGAGTAGAGTGCCTACTCAGTGCCACTCTAGTTTACCTTGTAGATTGCCACCCTATCTGTCCCTCTGGTACAATTTGTGTTTTGGCCAGTCACTCTGACCTGTTGATCACGTAACTGGTCTAAGGGCCGCTAGTAACTTGTGCCCTAATCGCTTTTAAGGAGTCTTATTCTATCAATTATTGGAAAAGGACTCTCCAAAAAGCGGGTAATCTATACAAAGTGTCGATGGCTATTAGTGTTATATTTCCATTAGCAGTGGCATGCCTGGCTAGTGTTCTGTGAACACCTCTTTGACTCAATTGACCTGATTCGGCAAAATTTCCACTCTGTAGGGGGAGAGAGGGTAATTTCAGTTGTTAAACTAAACAAAAAGCGGGGCTGAGACTAACAGTGTGAGTCAAAGACTTGGGGGCCAGATTGGAAGATTATTGTTTAGCTTTCGTCTCTATGGCACTTGTTTCGAAACATCTAGTCAGAGTCAAATGTAAGTTATATTTCAATCGCTTCTAATCATGCTTATACTTCTTCATATCCAAAGATTTTTGCTCTGGACGGCTCATTTTGGGGTGTGGTTTACGGATCCATAGAAATTATATAAATCATAAATCCTCCGTGCCACCTCGATCCTTGGGGTTGCAGTTTTCGAACTGCCACCGGCTTTTCCTGTCATGGTCAAATTAGATGGAATTGCATGTGTTTGAATTTTGTAAGCTTCCTCCCGGTAGTATTTGTGAATTTGAGGTTGACTCACTCTGTTAATCAAAAGACCTTGTTTGTATGTCATCATAATTTGTTAATCAATAGACCAACTGTGCGTGAAGCTAAAGGAAGCCTGATCGAGGAGTTGAATTTATACTTTCTCAGTTCTTAGAATAGAGAGAGACGTTGTTATAGTGGTAGGCACGTGCTGAACTAGTTCTAAAACAATACCCCAGATTTTGACAGTCTTTTAAAAATAAAACAAAATGTTGGCACTCCGGATCGTTTTGACTTCACTAGTTGCTAGTAGGGCTTTACCATTACTCCAGTGGACGCCTTCTTCATTACACATCATTTTTTGCGTTCTTTCTTGTATTCTCTCGTTATATTAATCAAAGCGAAAAGTTTTTTGAGTACTAGGGTTGTGAGGTAAAGTCTATACATAGTTTCTCTCAAGTTTTCCTTGCGCCACAGTTGCCGGCAATTATACCTATGCCGACCTGTTGCTTTTCTCACTTATACTGATAGACTGTGAATTTCATTATACCAATCATGCATATTCAAATGAATCAGGGTCTACCTACTTATTAACAGAATCAAGAGCAGGCTAGTCAAGTTTAAATGATTGTGCTCCCAATTGGAAGCAAACAATAGACTAAGAGTAAGACTATGAGACAATGCTAGTTATTGATCGAGCTACCCCTGAATCAATGGTAATAATATAGCCGTATAACTATTCAATAGATAAAACAGTGGTGTTACTACATTCCACTCGACAGATTGAGATGACCGTGTCTAGATCTGTGAGAGGTCCCCTTTGCCAGACTACCTGGGGCTCAATATTCATATTGTTGTCTCTCTACAGGGCGACCTTATTGTGCAATTTTTTTAGTAATTTTGACATTAGTTAGCCAGTTTAACCAGAGGAAAGGTTAGTTTTTGAATGGCAGGGGTCCCTCAAAATTGAAACTTTCTGAGGTTCTCGATATTGAATATTCATATCGTTGTCTGACTAGTCGCAACTCAATTGTACAATATTTCGTACTTTGTTTTGTTCCCGATCTCCTAAGATCGTTGCTATGTCTAAAAATGAACAATTGGGAAGTAATGGCGATGATAGCAGGCGAGGGCCGAGTGAGCTCACATTATTTGAAATAAGAGGGGTGACCACGTGATCCCCCGTAACTGAGCACGTGACTCCACAGAAGAAGATCCTGACCCTAGAACAAGCGCTACCGGTCATCAGCTCCAACAGTTAGCGACCATTCTTTTGAGCCGTGTCGCCATTAGCCTTTATTCTCTTCATTGACCAGCTCAGCAGTTATCGTTCTCTCCTACCGGGTCCTCCACCTCAAGGGTTTTTCGTCCAACTTCTTTCGTCCCCCCTAGTTATCCAGTAGCCACGGCACCATCCCCATGCATACAAGATCATTTTTAGGTAACTGCATTTGTTCTCTCTCCACCTTCGGCTTGTAACGTAAGTGGTTTTCATATTATCTCAATATTATGAGTCCCAGGTTCGGGAATTTGAGAAATTTTGATTGAAGATTAACACCAAACAAATTAAATCTGTATAGGTAAAGCTATACTAGCATTTTAGATTAAGGGCTCACCTAAGTATAGTAATCCTAACCTCAAAATTGAATTCCGATCGCGTTCTGAATCTTAATTGTGGATGGGTGTCCCGTTCTGACTCTAATATAATGCTCGCATTCTTTTCTTTTCGCTTTTCAGCCTTGCCATAAATGAGGATCGTTGCAGCCTGAAAACCATCATGTCTCCTGGCTGTTGAATATTCAACAGATTTGCACACTTTAGTATTCAGAACAAGATATACAGCCTTGCTAGTTATCAGGGTCCCCGTACTTGATACACCCCATTCTCACAAGAACATTACCATATCTCATTGTTTGTCGAGCCTACAGAGAAACTTGGTGAGATTTAAGCTTAGGTAGTCCTACTGCAGGCTAGTATATATGATTTTGTGGTTAAATTACTGGTAAGGGCGACTGTTGTGGAGCCTGGGATAACCGGGGGACCGCAGTGCACCTCAGGTTACTATATAGTTACCAGGTTACTATAGTTACCTGAAGTGCCACCTTATTAGCACTTATTGAACACCCCCCTCCGACACTACCGGGGGGAGGGTAGATCTGGCCGGGTTAAAACGGTCCATTGTTATGTTTAATTAGTCTACGATCTATAGCTGTTACATTGCCTCATAGGATGTAGTGTTCACATGTTAATAGCTTTATTTCACGCAGAATACTCACGTTTTTTTGCACAAAAATTAGTTTATTGGGATTGTTGTGCTTGTAACGTGTGGGGACGGAAAGTGCGTGTTTACCAACACCCTGCTTATCAGTGATTGTTTGGTCATTAAAAACATTGCAATTATTGGAAGCAGAGTCGGATCGGCTGAACCACGTGCTGGTCACGTTACCGATAGTCACGTTGCCTTGGTGCATGAGGGAGTAGTGGATCGCGTGCCTACATTGTAATGAGTAGCAGTTTCAGTCTAACCCAGCTGCCGGATTGCCCTGCCTCCCCGCCGCTCAATGGTCCATAGTCGCCACGTGACCCGTAACCCTGTTCCCCATTCGCCAAATACCAGAGCTGACTCGTGGTCCAATGAGAGAGCCTGAAGCCTGGGATAGTATCGCACGTCCCCCCATCCCCCTCACTCCATCCCATTATGTACACAAACTCTGAAAATTTGCCCTTCGTCCTGTCGACATGAACTACTGTTGTTAGCTTTGTTTACGTTGAACGAGACACTCACCTTGCTTACCAGTACCTGCTATTCTGCTACTCTCGTTAACATTTCGTCATGTTGAAAGGTTCGTTTATTGAATTATCGGTAATCAATTAGATCGTGTAGCAAATTTTTTAGTTTTCTATATATGGCGAATTATATGGGGATACCGTTTAAGTTCTGTTACTTGATGAAGTTTTCAAGTTCTGATGAAGTTTTCAAACCTAAATCATTAGCCTCGGCAGTTGTGGCTTTTAAGTAACCGCCAGTCTTAGGAAATTTAAATGTTCTGACACCGATCCTTGACGTCTATGATGTAAGCTGAGTTTCAAATTCTAAAATTAGTCGCCAAAGTTATTGCACATAATTATCTACACGGTAAGATTGGATGTGCGTGTGTTGCTGGTGTGTATAGGCCGATTGTTTCATCACACAGGATTGAAGCCTGCAAATGTGAGCTGTATCTTTTTATTCATTCAATAGCAGCACGGCATTGTACAGTATAGGTATCAGGCTAAGATTGGGGAACTATTTGTGGCAGCTAAGCACCTCTCAAGTAAGGTCTAAGATAGTATCGACTCTATTTTTACTAAAGCGGTGGACTAAGGGCCACACACGTCAACACGTGCCACTGAAACACGTTCATTCTCCGAGCCTGGTCCGGTATTATTCCTACTCAGTCAGTAGCCACTAGCCGACAGTTGTGGTCATGGCACTTTCGGCTCAGCCGAACCAATCCCCAGGCGTCTACACAATAGTTTCGGTTTTTTAGCCACCTGAGCTGGGATTGGTTGAGCAGATCGAGCAGGTCACTGTCAGCTCACAGCAGCTCTTACAGAGACCCTCCTCTATCAAGTGGAGTACTGTGTCGTGCTGCTGCTGTTGACGCCCTGGCATTAGTCCCCAACACACAGCAAGGAGTTCCAAGTGTACTACTGGCGGGGAGGTAGCTCCAAGTGTGTCGAAACACTGTCAGATGAGGGCTAGCCGAGTCTAAAAATGTCACAGACGACGTTTAAAAGCAGTGTTAGTCAGACTGGTAGCAATGTGCGTACCCTCACACTAGCACGGGCAGGGGATAGAGGTAGAATCTGTGGCACACAATGATACAAACTTACAAAACTAATGGAGTGTGGATCAGTGTTGCGCTCATCTGGTCCGCAACAAAGGATTAACAGAGTGGTCGATAATGCGAGAGCTCGTCTAATTTGCTGAGTAATTGTCCTCGAGGTGTAACAATTGCATGCAGCAGCTCACTAGCTCACAAGCCAAACAGACAACCACAAAGACAATCCCGATCTGTTCGACCTGTTTTCGTCAGTTTCCAACTATCGGCTGGTCATTGGCTCCATGAGCAAGCGACCCTTCGTGTACAATCCTACCAATTTAGTCTAATTGAGTATCTCCACTCATTCAGTACTAATGATAGCAACTTATGAGTCTGCCACACATTAGTACTGAGTAGTTGTAGTCCAGATACACAGTTAGAAACCAGACTGATCCCACGTCAGGTTCATCAGCCAGGCTGCAGGCTAGTGGCTGCTGGCTGCAGGCTGCTGCAGGACAGATGGTTTTAGACTCGTCATTATTATTTGGCATCAGAGCTACTTGTTCATCAGCACTGATAATAGTACATAATAACTATAATAACTCGCTTAATTCACTGGATCCCTCCCAGCACCACTATTCACCAGTGTAATTGTGGTTTGAATAATAGTTCGGTAACGATGCGTTCAGACTTCATGGAGTAAGCACACTGCATATTGACGGTAAATCCACCGAGTTTGAAGCGCAGTCACATGTTGTATTGTTGTCTAATGCTAATAGAATTGGATAGTTGATTATACGTGACCTACTATTGTCTAAAATACGTCAATTAGAATCAGTGTCAGATCAATGCAATGCGAGCAGATACCAGCCGGAGAACGGAAGTCCATTATTTTCTAGATTTTTAGCCCGTTCATTCCTCCGATCGCAGAACGTTCGTCTCCCCGTCTTTACCAAATATTTACCAGAAATATTTACCAGAATCAAAACAGTGGATAATATTGTAGATGTTCACTAAGCAGGACAACTCATGAGCCGGCCGAATGACCACCGTGTCCGTGCTATCGTATCCTGTACCCTATTTACCCCTCTAAAGGCCCCTTCACCCACATTTACCCTGGGTCTACATGATCACGTCAGTACTTACACCACACAGTACTAGTAACAGTGACACAGCCACACAGTTTGTATATTCTCAGCCCACCCAGACGAATGTCACCGCCTCCCTCCGCTATATCGGGGTTAGAGGTGCCATTGCCTGGTTACCTGGCAACCTGTCTAACTTTGACCCCCTTAAGTCTCGCGATCTATTGTTGTCTAGTTAGATGTGATTAGCTAAAAGTGTAATTAAAGATTATTATCAGGGAGAGAGGTCGGGTCCCTCCTGCTGCCTCTGTACAGTTTTAATAATATCATGTGTAATATTGGAAACTTATTAGTATTTGTCAGTCAATATCAGATAAGGGAACTGAGAGGTGTTAATGGTATCCCGCAACTCAAATGCTTGTCACTGCCTGGGTCCATGTCAACAATACACGTATATTACAAAATTTTCAACTTTCAGTATGTAAATTGCACGCTTCGTTTATTGGGCGTTTATGAGTCACGTGGTGTGTACGGGGAGTTGTGAAGGGTAGATGTTAGAGGGAGAATGCTAACTGTGGTCCTGTGTCCGCCCCGTCCAGTAGCAGGCACGCTCTTTTAAACCCCATTTTAGCGCACTATCAGGGAATCCCTACACTCTAAGAGTGATTATTGATTAACAATCCTCCGGTCTAAATTGTTTGGCCCCTCCAAGGGAGCCGAAAACTCTGACATTTTCGGTGAAACAGGACGTCCACCCACCATCAGTAGAATTGCTGGAGTCGAGGTAGACTGTTGCATGCTAGAGCTGTAAACAAGGTCCACTCGATCTGGTGGTTCGTCATTGACGAGGCAAGTAATGGGAGCTGCGAGGGTACGCGAACTTAACCACTCACTGGTAAACTATCACATACCCCGAGCAATGTTATCAAAACATTAGCAAGACAAGAAACCTGAGTAGCTAATGCTCGAGAAACAATATAGGATAATGTCGTGGCCGGATTGATCAATTACCCGCATCTGACTTGAAGTTTGAAGGTAATCAGGCGGTCAGGTGGGCTGCATGGTCGTCAAGGTAAACATGACCTCAATTAACGCCAATCAACTCGAATCACGTGTACGGTTTCCAGCTAGACCGCACGAAACTTTATCGCTAAAAGCAGTACAGAATCTTAGTCGGACTACTTTCTCTTGCAAATCTTTAGTGTTCAACTTGAGAAAAAGAGTTCTCGAACGGTCGTTAGTTCGCAGTTATACTTTGTACTCAAGTCATTGCTCACAATCTATCCGTGTAAGTTAGAGGGATTTCCTGACTCGATTTTTCAGTAGGTACATATCTCTCTCATTTATTTTAGTTGTATGTAGTTGTACAACTCAACTTCTGATTCCTTATTTTTCACTGCCCGTGCAAGGGACCCTATGTAGTTGTACAAAGTAGGATTTCTGAGAAAGTCTCAGCACGCTGACACTGTTGTAACTAGCTTTATTTTCTATTGTGTCTAATTGTGGCTAGGTCGGAGCTGCTAGGTATTGCGTCTAATTAATGTGGCTGAACTGCAAGAATTCTGCCATCTAGTTTGCCGACTCGCTGACGGTATGAGCTCGCGTGGGCGCTACCTTCTTGACTCATGTGCCTGACTTTTCTTAGGATCCTAATTCGGATACACTAAGGATATATAGCTAAATTGAGTAGCGACCGGTACAAACTTGTTCCAATCTTCCCAGCCAAATATCCGTGCACCAATCAGGTTCCGGTAATGGTGGCATCAGCCAATGAGCTTACTCGCTTCCCTGGCACGTGTAGACGTGATGTTGGTTTAGTAAGGGATCACTTGGTAACAATTACAGTACTCCAGCTGATTAGATACCAAGCTATTATATCTCACAGTCTCCAGATTACACCGCGTCTATTTCGGGTGTTGGTTCCAGCCTGCACCAAGCACCCACCCACCACTGAGGCCGTTAAAACAGGATATCTATTGGTCCTGCTACTTCACTGTAACCACATCGTATCAGATAAGTAGATACTATCCTGCTTCTCACGAGGGAAAAGTGTTCTAAAAATAGACCAGGTATAGGGAGTGTGTTGCTACATGTGTGATCGGAGGTGGCAGGCGGGTGTGGGGTCCGCGTCGTCAGGAGTCGACCTGGTCTCGTGCGAGTTCGTGTCACTGATAGAGGGGCAGCCACATCACCTCACGTGTCAGTCCCTTCTAATGCTCCCTACAATCGAATTACGTAAATCAAGCTCCAGCGTGTAAAATCAAAATCTATTCTCCCGATAATCCCTGTACAGCTATTATGAGTAAAGGACCATGAGGTTAAGCCCCTGTCTGTCTCCTATTGTAATGTAGTTCACTCTAGTTTATTCAAATACCTATCAGCTCGATGCTGGTCACCTAGCCTTACCTCACTGGGGCTTGTCCAAGCCGCGTGACTTACAAATTTCTTGAAATATAATAGCTGAAAAGAGCAAAATAGTTTAAGTAATGTTTTCTGTGTGGCATCGACACATACAAGAGATTTACAGCAGTGGTTATGGTGCCCTGTACTTTATTTCTAGCTGACCTGGTTAAAACTGCCACTATCGCCACTGTTACCAAGTGCCGAGCACAATAAGTGATCCAAACCGATTTGCATATGAAAACGAGCAGATCATTACACAATCCGAACCTGGTCCGTAATCATTTATAGGCTTCATCCAGTATGATCGCTGCAATCTGTATCATATTAGTAGTAGGTGGAGTCAGCTGTTATATAAACTATAAATGTCCTCATTTTGTGGCCCTAGTTGTAAAGCCATTATCGAGATCTAAGTCGGCAATAATATTTGTAAAAGGCAATATTATTTGGTACGATTTCTTGTGCCTGTGGGCGTTATATTCATTAGCCATTAATCATGCATAATGATAAGGACTCTGTACGAATTATAGATTTTATTTTATCTATTATCAGAACTTAAATTCTAACACAGCTAATTTTCAGTATCACCACTGGTTGCACCACAGAAATCAAGAATGCTGGATCAAAGCCACCTCTCTTCATCTTTACAGGTAAATATTCTCATTGTTCAGAGTTTTTCAGACTCGTTCTAAAGTTTCTCCTATTTAGAAGTGTGCGACTTTTGAGACTGAACTAGATCTGTTCAGCTGGGGTGCCGTGCATTGTTTAGCCACGTGCAGCCGGGCTTCCCTCCCGGCCGCCAATCAGAACTTGTAACTTACTACTGGTGATATGTGTCAACTCACAAAACGAGAACTGCATCGTGTGTTAGTCAGTTGGCGTAGTTTGCGTGTACAGTTTGCATCACTCTAGTCAAAACTATAAACAAAGGGACGCTCACCTTAACGCTTTTGTTTGTTCGATTTGAATGTAAAGAGGCTGAGCCCCAGATAATTGTTTTATTTTGGAGCTTTTCATGGTGAGTCTAGTTTGTTGTAGACAGGGAAATTTCGGCACTAAACACCCTTATAACAGTACAGCACTGTGGGAAACAGAAAATTTTTGTGGATATTCTCTAAATTTTGCTACATGGACATTCTACAGAATGTTGATAATAATTCTAAATAAGGGCACGTCACTCAGTCACTGAAAGTAAAAGTTGGTGATGTTGAGCGTCGACTGTCAGATGTTAGGGTAAATGAAACCTTGGCAAGGCGAGTAAAGTTGAGCAGTTCACAACCGTACAAAGTAGAGCGTATCAAAGTAGGGGGAGGAAAACAGAACTAGAAGGTAGCCTAGACTAAGAGAACCACAAAGAACAAGGTTGCAGTAAGGGCACGAACAAGGCACCGGCCTACACACACTAAATCCATGAGAACCCTCTAAAAGTTAGCGCAGATCCCTAGCCGACCCTGGAAAGGAGAGGCTGCGCTCTGACCCCTGTAAAACTCGTTACCTCATGAATAAGGAACTTGTCACATTAGACGCAGCATTATAATGTAGATATTGGCTTGTTGTAATTGTACCACCACTACAAGCTCTGGATTAGTCCTCGATTTGTCAGCTAGTGTGATTCCCTCTCTCTGCTCGGGCAACCCAGCACTCTCCCCAAGCTCTACTCGGGTACCCATATCAAAACGTGTTTGATCCGTCTCTCAAGTTACACAGTGGAGCGGAGGTGTGCCATTGGCGCGCGTTCCTGTCATGTGCCTGATCACGTGGTGAGCGCGTGGTGAGTGGCACAGTACTGACAATACCAAACGTATCGCAACCTCGTGATAACGGCCGTTTTTCAGCACAGTTTACATTGTTTTGACCGGCTCGTTAGACCCAGTCTGTCTTTTTGTCCTCTTGTTCTTGTTCGAGACACATCTTCTCTCATGGTTATCAAGCCCATTTGTAAGAATGCAAGGGATCTGCAGGTATGCAACTTTTAATGAAGTTTTCAAACCAGTCTTCGATTTACATCGATGCGACATTTTATCCATTCATTCCATGTGAACAATAACCATTACATTATTAACTACATACATGTAGTTAAGATCACATTGAGTACTCTTGAGTCTTGAATACCTCCATGTATATGTCCCTTGAATACCAGTAAGTTTATGATTGCCCCGAAATATAATTATAGTTTGCCGTCTCAACCTTAATATTCTTATATTCTAAGCTGTCTATAATTGAATGTTGCTACAATCGGTCACAACAAACATATTGGGCTGCCACTAACATTGTTTTTCTTGCTGATTAGATCAGCTATGTCTGGTATCTGCAAATCTTCACCCCCTCAATTTGATCAGACGATAATGTAATGACTAATGTACCACTATATCATAGTCGGCACAACTGGGGATCAACAGGGGATCCGCCCTAAACTTGTACCAGATTTTTGCAGAACTGATGGCACGTTTAGCCCGGGAAATAACGGTAATATTCGTGTACTATCACTGGATACTGTGTGATATATTTAGTAACACGGTCAGGTGCCTGGTTCCCTATTTTACGGACAGTGCCGATATGCACGTACAATGTGGGTTAGAGACACAGAATTCTGTCCACTGAGGCCAGAATTTGCCCTAAATTGCGGATATAAATTTGCGTTCGTTTCCGGATTCCTTTTCGTGTCATATTTAGTTAATTTTTTACAACAATTTAAACGCCTCCCCTAGATATACGATCCTATTCAAGAGATCGAAAAAAGTTCTTTTCCCAATAATTCATTGTCTAAAATCTTTAACTTGGTTGATAGGTTTCCACGAGTTCAATAAAATCAATGTCTGGATGACCTCGAGAATGTGTCGGCAAAAAGTAGTGTCTATCCAAATCATCGTCTTTTGGGGGATCTGTAGTGTAAATTATTCGTAGTCCCCGATATATATATGAGCACCTCAACACACCAGCAGGGAACCACAAATCTCTCCCTCTGAATTAACTTACTACACTTCTTTTCTTTATGATTTATGCAAATCTGTTATTGCAAAGCGGGATCTGCCCTCAAAGATCTCATGCCAAGGTTTGTCATTCAAATAAGAATCGGACTTTTGTTCAGTACTTCAATAGATCTACTCCCCAGGTAATCTAACTATATGAATGTGCTGACTGTCAATTTTATTATTTGGCAATTAGAGTGGCCCAACAAGTCTGAATCTTGTGATAGGTGCAATAGGTCAGCATGGTTGCCGTCTTTGGAAGGAGTTTCGCACCGCCAGGTTGTATTAAGCCTGGGTCGACTGGTACCGTGCTAACTCAGTTCTGAAGCTTCACCCCTTCTAACTTCTTTGAAAATCTTTTCCGTAACAAACTCTCTTTGGTACTTTTTATTTCCAAAAGCCATAGTCCGATACAGTTGTTGCAGCGCTGGTCGACACTCGATCAGGCTGTCAGGGCCAGTACCAGGGTGTATGGTTATGTACTGTAAATGCCACAAAAGATTAGTACTTCGCGCACTCAGGTCCGACCTTCCTCCTAGCACGAACCCATATCTGTTGGAGTTACATATTATGTCTGACATGACTCTCAAATAGCTCAAATAAGCCCGGTTCAGTCATCTATCTCTAATGATAATTTCACTCTTCGCGCACCTAAACTCTGAAAGTGCTGCCCACTTTATTATCTTTTTCAGTTTGTAGTTGGATCACTAGTCCAGGGGGAGCTAGAGTCTGTATGGCTGGCTTGTTGCTCCACACAGATCTTCCCACTTTTCCTTCACACCTATATTAATGTTTGGTATGAGATGATGAGGAGCACAAGCCTTACAAGTGTGAATCTCACTCTATATTTGTGTCCATCTGACCTAGCACTGCAAGGCGAAACGTCATGTAAACCTCCCGTTATAAGTTAACCCTGTTTCCGAGTTGAGAATTCAGAATACCAGTAGATGATGATGATGATGGGCCCGCATGTCGGCCGCCCATTGCTACTCCGTTAATAGGTAATTGAAACGAATAATGCTTTTAATTTGAGAGCCGGGGTCTGCCTACGCGTGGCACTCGCTGTGCGCCCAAAAAGTAATTGATTTAGCATTATGATGGATAATGTAGTAATGTGGTGCTAGTTAGTTCTAGGCAGGGGCCCTGCGTGCAATGTTACGGGTTGCCGCTATCGCAAACTCAACCTACCATTCTAATGATACCTTTACTTCTCGCGTTATGTCAATTTCTTAATCTTCCCAGGTTTTGTTACAACTTGACAAAATTTAAAGTTCAAACATTTTAATGCCATGGAACGGCATGGCTTTACATTTAGGGGAAACGGAATAAGTGTCCAATGGTCATTGAAACATTTCGGGTGACTCAAAAGACGTCGATAAGATTTCAATTATTTTCAGAATCATGCCTCAGATGTTAACCTTATTAATTAGTAAACTCTCTCTCTCTCCACCCCCTCCCTCACACGTGTCCTACCCTATCTATTATCGAACTATGATATTTTCACAGGACCCCTAATGGGTTCTCCAAGTACCCGGGCCATTAGTCTGTCCCCGATTGGCCCTAAAGCTCGCACGTTCTGGCGCTAATTCTGACGGCCTAATAATCCTAGTTAAGCTAATAGTGGGGGGCTGATGAGCTGTATCACATGTTAGACCCATTATCTCATTGCCACCTTGCTTCACGCTCACGTGGCTTTTTCACAGAGCTGCTTCACACAAACTTTACCTCTCTAACAAGGTTTTCACATTCTTGTCATACGATCTGCCCTTTTTCACAGTTAAATGAGTCACTTGATAGATCACACTACCTGATAATTATATCACAACTAATTTCTGTGTCACCACTTGTAGAAGGGTCGCTTCAGAAAGAGTCAGTTATCAAACAACGGCGTTGTAGTACCGCTTTGAAATTAGAAAAAAAGCTACGGTTAATAATCCGATTGTAGATCAGCTAAGAGGGGTCATTATTTTTAACGATGTCGATACGACCCAATGCTTCCTTTGGCAAACCGATCGATATTGCTCGGCAATATAATGCCGGTAACCTATGTAGCGAAGTCCTGACAAAATTCTCTCGATATCAAATATCTGCCGACATGGGCAGAAATTAAGAAATTATAACTATAACTTTAGATACTTTTGAAACAAAAACATAAGCTTGTTATGTTTTCAGGGAGCAGCCTCGTTTACTACGATGATGCAGATGCCCTATCCAGACTACACTATCCCTCACGTCCCTTCTCCGAGATATCAGCCTCCAATCTCATCGGAGAGCAGGTACATTTTGATCTGTGTGTCTATTTTGTCATTTGTCTGTCTATCTGTCTGTCTGTCTGTAGGTATTTTGTCTACTTAGTTTTACTGATCTGTATATATCCGAGTTCTCAATATCAGTATCCACATCTATTATCTGGATATATCTTATTGTGGTTTTCGAAAAGGTAGCTATACTTTATGTACTTGAGACAGGATTTTGATATTTTTGGATTTCTGAATTTCTGACTATCCGGATTTTTCCAAACCTTCAAAGATCTAAGAAAAGATTTGCCTAACAACTTTTCAATGTTCGACCACGATAAGATTTAGAAGAAATTGCTTGTGCTTCACAATCATGTACTGTACCTGATTTCCGGGCGGCCCCTGACCAGTGGCCATGTTGCCCGCAAAGTCCCAGTTAAAGTTTGGATCCGGACAGTTGGTCTGCAGATTACTTCCGGATTGTATTAGATAACTATTGTAACTTTAGAGTGTTGGGGTATGCAGTGGTGAAAATTAAAGTTCGTACGAAGAGGCTGACCATATTTAAACTTTATTTAAGGAATAAGGATGTTGTAATAGGTTTGGAGCACTTCCCTTGCAGGACAGTGCGAACCGTAACCAGAGTGAACCGTAACCATTCCATGTTGAACTTATTAAGACAGTTTGATATAGCTCTTTGAGGTCTAACGTTTCACTTTCAATTCACCTGTTTTCGTTCTAGAAAAAGAGTCAAGTCCGGACGTGAACAGGGCTGTACGTGTGCTACTTGCAGGTGTAATGTGCATGCTGTAATGTCGTGAGGAGCCGATATTTTTATAGATCAGTACTTGATCACCTCTCTCCATCAGGTCTATAAGTTCCATCCCACCTGCACTACTTTTTTTGCGGTTTGTTAATGGTTTCTGCAGAACGGCCTGTATCAAATGACATTCGGTAATGAACTTCATTTGCAAAAAGTGAGTTTTGGTAATTTTAGAGTGGTAGTTATATTGATTTTTTTGTGCCGATCGTGTAGCCAGGTGCGGAGTTAGGTAATGGGCGGGATCTTATGTTACAAATTTCATGTTCTCTCTCGGCCTTTAACACCATATTGTGTGATCATGATATGATGCAAGCTGTCTTGACGTTTAATAGATGTTAACCATGATAAAGATTTTCAGCACTAATATTTTTCTGAAAAAGTCCAAGACTTTTTCATAAAAGTAGAATTTGATTCCTCCTTTTTCTCCTTACGCGAGATTCGTTTATTCGTATCTCATTGTAAATATTATAGATGTCAAATTTATTTGGATTTTGAAATTTAAAAATTTCAAATGCCAAGAATTCTATTTGATCCATGGTGAACAGTTTTAATTAAAGCAACATTGTTTCATAGTAAAATTAAATACCCTCCGTTCCTTACACGAGAGACTTGTTTGTTTCGGGACTCAGATCATGTCTATTTCTAATTACTCCTATATAACTAGCATAACTAGCCACCATTACTCTAGGGTAAGGACTATAAGGGTAAGGACTAGGGTAAGCACGGCCTATGAACTGATAACCTTGCCATGCCATACTGATCTTGGACCACTGAGCTAAAATTTCGAGTAATTCTATGAGGATATTCATGTGCTTACTTTCATTATCTTCCGTTTAATGGCTATGTTTGGATGTTTGTCCTTTGTCTATATTTTCTGTATATTATCATAAGGTCTGGCGATTACGTCTAGACATGAAGTCTAGACATTACGTCTATGACTAGCGTCTAGGACTCATGTCTATCGTCAATTTAGTGGAACATATCTGTATAACCGCCCGCTTTGGAAAAGGTTGAATACTGGTCGTTTGCCAGAATATGTGTCTATTCCAGAAATGGAGGGAACTCTGACTAATAGCTGATTCCCTGATCTATATCCGTAATTTTGTTCAGGTCTCTAGTATTTTCTAACTAATCCCTAACTCGTTAACTAAGTGTCTTAACCTCTCAGGTTCGTCAGTCCGCCCAGCAGTACTGCAGCTAACGCAGCAGCTCTCATGACTCAGATGCCTAGATTTGTCTATCTTCGACCTTCCTCCATCCCTGGAGCTGGTATGGGAGTGTGGGCTCAGGAACCTATACCTGCAGGAACTAGATTCGGTCCGTACACCGGAAATAATGTGAACTCTATCGGCTACGCATGGAAGGTAAGTTATAGGAGGGGTTATTTGTGATTTACCGATTGTTTGTCACTAGTATAATGCACGGAGTTGAATTGAGGTAAATATAAAGGCAGCATTCTTTTGGTAACAATTAAAGGCATGTGCTAACAATAAGCGCGAGCTGGAGCCGAGAGAAAGGCAAAGTATTAGCTAATGATTTGAAAGCTGCTCAATACAATATATTATTATTATTGATGAATGACAAGAAAATATAATAAATGAGGCAGGTGATGGTAATGCCAGTAACTGACCACCTCGTCATTTGCCTTACAGAGCTGGCGAGGGCAGGCCAGGCTCGTAGCCTACACATGACTACACCATCCTTGTCATTGGTGCACCGAGCCACCTGCCATAACAACTCCATATGCTCTGAGTGCAGTTAGCCTCGTGCCTTGCTTCTCTCGTGTAGTGTGTCTCGTGCATCCTTGCGTACAAGCCCGCCTGCGAGGGGGGCTCTTGCACGGCTCGCAACGCGACCTCACCGCGCAGGTGCCCTGGTGTCTGGTATCTTCTAGTTGAGGAAATGCTGCAACTTCCCTCATTATGCATCCGAGCCATGCATAACATTAGTGAGACTCGGCAAACTGAAGATGGGTGGGAACAACGCGTTTCTCTGGTTCGCAGCAGACTCATGCGCTACGCGTTAACATTAAGGGACGTGGCGCTCAGACTCATGCGCTGTAATCGGTAGAGTTCGCGCCTACAATTTGAAACAACAACTCTTTTAATCAGCATTTAAACTCCTCAGGGCATTTGCCACTACGAGGTTACAACTCCACGCTGGTCCCGGAAATAGTGCGAACTTAGCAACTTATAAAATAGTTGCCATGTTGCCCTCCCATAACTTTGTAACAGGACTCCTTGTTGTGGGCCCATGTCCTTAGCTCATGAATTGGCCCATGTGTCCTCTAAGTGGTGGCAAATGACAATTTTTACTTTATTTATAGCTTCTACTCCGTGAGGAGAATTATGAGTTGTTTCATAATCATATTCAGAGGGCAAGCTAAAAAAGCATACCATCCATATTGCTGAACATACAAACTTATTCAATAAGTTTGTTCATATGTTTTTTCATAATTGTTTCGACCAATAAGTTATTGGTCGAAACAATTATGAAAAAACATTATGGAATTTAGATCGAGGCCTTAATAGGGAAATTGATTTTAGAAAAAGTGGAAACAATTTATATATTTACATAAACTTAAAGAAATGAACCTCTCAATGAGTAAAGAGTTGAAAGAGGGACATGTTTCTCTGAAACATAGTGTAATGGAGCATCAACATGGGTAATTTTCCATGGTATCAGTTCGCTCTCTTAGATAGACAAAAATCTCGATTTGCATGTCTGCGATTGAGTGTGATTGACCTTTTAGTTGATGAAATTTGAAATGCATCATGTTTAATCTGAACGCCACCTTTTCTTGTCCATATCTAACTCTTTTATATTATTTAAACTCTCCTCAGCCACATACGTATTTTTCATCAATGCGCGCGTTAAAACACTTTTTCAAATTTCATTGAATTTCTTGTCAATTTCGATCGAAAAACTAACAGAATTATTGTTTCAGCAAAGTCCTCTGTTACTCGGACAAACCCCGTCGACCCCTGCTGACCACTGGATGGGCTTCGTTAACAGAGCTCGCAACAGAAGAGAACAAAACTTAGTGGCTTTCCAACTCGGAAACCGAATATTTTACGAGGTGAGTTTATGGGAGAGGATACCCTCCCTTTGAAATGTTTATAGGAATACAACAATAAACGTTTGACTTTTTAATCAACTTTGGCAAAAATCAATTAGCAGTCAATTAATCAATTAACTGTCCCAGGTCACGTGCGACATTCCTCGGGAACGGGAACTCCTAGTTTGGTATGACAACGATCTCGCCAAGGCACTAGGAATCCTTACCCTAGAGGAGATCTCAGCTGAAGGTATGTCAAGCATCCCAACTATTAGATGGCTCATGATTAGGGTTGATTGAGTGTTATTGGACCAGATAAGGTTTATAATTGACCGCTGAGTAGTTAGCTAAATTTACAGGTTACAATAAACAGGTTACAATAAAGTTAAAAGAACTGACAGATTGACCAAAGAACCGACAAATTATTAATAAGTCCAATGTCCATTAATGTAATAATGTACTTGTGACCTGGTCCCAAGTCCAGACACCAACTCTGATTGTTTTTCATTATAATGGGTCGTCTAGTCACTGACTAATGATTCGACCTATGCAATAAAAAGTTTCAGCGATTGCCTGTATTTTCATTAAGTGCCTTGTGCTTTTTTGTGCAGTTTATCCCACCCACTGGCCAGCTACGAGAACATTGCCTCGCCTTTTACAAATCTGCTAAATTTAGAGTTTTACTGCTCGGCGTCGTCGTCACGGCACATCAGCATATGTCTACATAAAATATGGCACATATTCTGCAACTAAAACTGTAATAACAGATCTTTGGTAGAGGGGGTGAAGTAAACCGATACGCCACTTATTCCAGCAAACGCACCGTTCCAACACTCTATACGGGAACTTTCCCTGGAACTATCTGGCTCTGCTCGGGTAAAGTGTGTGGGTAGTAATTTGAGTGGTCACAGTAGAGCTAGACGAACCCGGAGCTCGGAGTGGTATTGGAACTGCAATGTTTGTTGTCGTGTACTCCACATATGGAGTTCTGCCTAATTTCAGGCCGGGATTTTATTTACGCAACTCTTTGTTCTTTTACAGTTCAGTTCGCGTGTTAAAGGTTTTTACAGTCGTGTGCCACTAGCGGCTCCTTTTTGTTTTACATTACATGTAATAAACTTAGCACTGCTTGATAAAGGAGATTTATTTCGTACAAATCCTCATTTTACATTAGCTAGCTTGACCCCGTCATTCGTGATACGTGTAACTAACAGTTTGTGTTGTGTGTCCCCCGGACAATTTGTTGCCAGTGTTGTTGGATAGAACTAATGTTCTGGTAGCGGTGACGGGGCTGTTGCAGGAGAGCAAGGAGTTAGCTGCTGTGTGACTGATACTGCCAGCTCATTGGCTGAGCACTCATAACGTGCAGCTCACTGGTGTGTAACGAAGCATGACAGGAGGAGCAACTCACTCGCTGTGAGCTAGGCCGCGTCTCAGCAGCACTACTCAGTACATTGTTATATTATATCCTCCGTGCTTGTTGTGCTCCAGTCATTAGTAATCATCATCACCATCATGATCCCCTCTCTCTATGTAGCTCTCTCTCTCTGTTAGAGCCTGGCTTTCTTCTTCAGAACGCTGCTTTACCGGTAATTAGACGCGTATCTAGATCTGGTCCTGAAACGGTGCTTGTAACTGCTCACTCCAGCCACTTTGAGAGTGCTAATATTCAGCACTAGGGATGTCACTGTAGGCTGAAGTGTACAAAGCCAGAGCTGCCAGTGAGCCGGGTATCCGGCCAATAGAGCGCCAGCTGGTAGCCCATGTGACCAGGTCGTCCTCCTCACCTGTTTCATTTGCCCTTATATGGCGGGATACGCGGAGGAATTAATGTGTTGCAGTCTTTATTCTGTGTATTTTGATGGGTTTATACCGGGCTCTTTATTTCATTATTCATGAGCTCCCCATTCAGCACGATAGTCCGATGTTACGGATGGTCGGTCCGGTCCGGCCGGGGAGCGAGAGAGAGAGAGAGAGGGAGCCGGAGAGAGAGAGAGAGAGATAGCAGTCAGGGTATAGTAGGAAGCAGCAGCCGACATATGTACCCGCGGACTCTTTATATTAATGCGTGATAATTTGTTCTCATCCCAGTACAGCCGCTCTCTCACTTCAGTCTGCAGTGTACTCAATGTTTCGTGTGTCATTAGCTTCTTACTCCATTATTTTCTCAGACTTCCGATATTACTCCCAGATCGTCATTTCGTAACTCTTTCTATCATCCATTTGCCGCCTGGATTCTCGTTTCTCGGTTCTTTGTTTTAATAATTTCGTCAAAGTTTGCTTGTTTGTTTACTTTTTACGAGATTATTTAACACAGAATTGTTTGTCCTAGCTTGTCCATTCCGACCAGATAGCATAATCTCATGGACAAGAGTAAAATACTTGACATCGCTAAAGTTCTGGCTCTGATTGACAAGATAAAGAAAAACAGCGAGGAGCTAAAGTCTGTGGCTGATTCCTACGGTTAGTCGCTGATGAAAGGGAGTGTAGAATAAGGAGATATTCAGGGTCTCAAACTTCACAACACTCTGTCAACAGTTACTCATGCGGAACAGCTGTTAAAACATGTTAAATAGTTCAGTGTATCTTAGGATATGACATTAACAGTTGTCATTAACAGTTTATTAAAAAACTTTGCATCTGAAAATAAGATCAAGTAGCAACCGCCGCTGATAGAAGCTATTTAAAATACAAGATTTCCATCTTGTTTGGTATTGGGACGTTACAACAATATTTGTCGCTACGTGTTCATCCCTTTTCAAGATAATGTCATATTATATAATATGCCTGGGCATCGCAGAGAAGTAAATTAAGAGTAAAAACCCCATCTTCGGTTGTAATATAATTTCACATCTTTATTTTCTCTAAGTTTAAAAACGAGTCTCGTATTATGAATTATGATAACATAAGGCAAGCTGTCTTACAAAACTTAAGTCATGTTTATTTTTCAGTACGCTTCGTGTTTTAGGTAAATGTATGGTCAAATCAATTAGGCTGCTTGTTGACTGTTGATGGGGACTTTTATTACATGCAATCAGAAACATCTCATGGACTGTGTCTTTCGGACAATTTTTAATCACTTCACCAACTTTGGGTGAGTTTGACGTCTAATAATTCACTTCGCCGCTTGATTAAATCCACGCATCACAGACTCTACATTTTATCATCTCCAGCCCAACTAAGCTCAGTAAGATATGGTTGTTCTAATTCTACTGATTATTTTGCTAATAGTAACGGCTGCTTTCAACTTTACCAATCATTTAACCATCCTCAAACCTGCGACATTAATCTCAATTGTACATCGCAACTTAATACAGTTACACACCCTCCTTTATTCACACCATTTAAACCTCACTTAAAACACGCACTTTCAACCTCAATTTTACATAACAACCTGAAACATATACCCCTCCTATATTCAACAGTTCCACGCGTCGCCAGCAGCTTGAAACGCTAGCTTAGTTTCAGTAACACCTGATTTACCGTTCCGCTTCAAAGACCTCGAAATTTAGAGATTCAACTGTGGGCCCGACTCTGACCACCTGTTAACCTCCTCCGCTCTGATCATTGTTCTAGGTTCTACTACACATTATATACTGTATATTTATAACCATGATCTGGGCGGTGAAGTTGTAAGGCGGGTGTTGACTGGACTAGCTGCTTAATAATCTCACAACATGTTGAAGTTCAAATTAGTTTAGCGATGCTGCTAGCTCATTGTCTAAGAGCACTCTCTCTCTCTCCTTCGTTCTGAGAAATTGAAACTTAAAGTTGTGACACGGTCACGCCTGTCCTGTTTGCAGCAGCTGGTGGCTGTGTGGCCTAGGTTCTCTGTGATATAGTGCCGCACAAATTACTACATCCATTATCATTATTATCATAATATTGTTGCTGATATAAGGGCCTCATGTTTGTGACAGCAGCACACTGCGTATTTAACGTGATTTTGTTAATTTACCACTGGCGGAGTATAGTGGACCATTGTGCGTGGTGTGCTGCAGTCGGTCTCGCCACATTTAAAGGAATAATGGCGCTAACTTGAGCCGGATCCCTGATCGAACAGCTTTGTCATTACCCAATTTGGTCTAAGCGGCTGTAGAGTGCATTAGGGCCTATCAAGAACCATTAATCTGCTTGTCAGAGGTTGCAGCTGGTGGTAATGAGACCTTAGTATTTCAATGAGATCGTATTATTGCACCGTCACGTGACTATCCACTCAGTACCTCTCTCCGACGATATGACGTAAGACCGGCCGTTATCTAATATTATTTACTGGTTGTATTAAACCTTTAAACGGAGCTCGTGTTTTCCAACTAATCCACATGCTTTCTACGGAATGTGATTGTAGACGGTCCGTGGTGGAACATATTTTAGTAGTTTTACGAGCAAAACTGACAGCTATTTAGTTGGTTAGGTTACTGTCCAAATGGTGACAACGACTTAGTTGGGTTACTGTCCAAATGATGATGCCGACTATGAAGCCCCAGCAGTTGAAAATGGTGTTTTAGAAGGAAAGTTAGTGTTAGGCGTCGGTTATTAATTGGTTTGGAAAACGCAACGCAAACGTCACAGTCAGTAATCAAGGATACAAGCAATGCTACTGTTGTCTCTCTCTCTCCCTCTCTCCGCAACTTAGACCACGGAACAAATCTCCTGTAAAACTTCCAACTAGGTAAAAAGTGTTTGTAACTGTAAGATCACTATAGGTGTGACCTGACTTAAAAATATTAAGAGGTTGAATTCACGCCCTTGTCAGTCAGTAACTACCAAGCCAACGGTCATTACCGGTCCATTTTGGAGGGCTTGATTCCTGTATGTGAAACTGAGGCCCTACATAATCGTGGCATTAATTCTATGCAATAGCCAAGGCGGTGCTGGAACTTCGATAAATCTCAAATTCTTCTACTTTCAAAATAGATTTATCTCAAATAATTCTAATCAATTCAGTCTCACATTTCACACAGTTTTACTCAATGTCACTTTGATATATTGTTCATAAGCCACGTTAGAACAGCAGCATAAAAATGAGAGAAATGTAAAAACATATATATGTATAATATATAAACAAAAAGGTATAATTTCACATTGGATTGGATGAACTCTGGTCAGTTAGAAATAATTCGTCAAAAATGATGGATTCAAACCATCATCCCTGTTCCCTGTTCGTCTATATCATGTACATTTTAGGCATCTTCATCAATTTATTATTGGTGTCACGTTTTTGCATGAATCTTTCCGGTGAACAATTTGTCTCAAAAAGTTTCATTTCAGTCCACCCTCTTAATTACATGACAATAGTGCTCATTAGTTTTTTAATTCGACTGATCCTTATTTTGAGAGGTGACTAAGACAGAGTAACATAAAGACTAAACCAAGAGATCAGTACCACCCAAAGCATGGGAGACGAAACACATTTGACATCAAACCTAACGACTACAGTTATTCAGATATCTAATATTTAAATTGAGTCCTCAGTTTGAGTGCATCTTTAACATGTTACTTCGTTTCAGAGGACGGTGCGTATGTTTGTAAAACCTGTCAGAGAGCGTTCTTCTACCCTTACAGCTTGATATGGCACAGAATGCACCAGTGCTCGGTGCCGGGACAGAATACTAACTGTGGGGGAGCTAACGATATGTTATGGTTAGTAACAGCTCTTTAACTTTGTTTTTGTTTTGGTCGACCTTCAATTGCTGTTTGCTTAGTTCGTTGCGTGGGATGATTTGTGTGACGACATTTTCTTTAAAAAGATCTTATGATGTAATTTATCAAGTACGTAGGCTATTAATAACAATTGTTACAATCCTCTAAACCGACTCATTAGTCATTAGCAAGTTATCTTAACGTGCGTTTCCGTCTCAGGTGTGATCATTGTGGAAAGATATTTGCCCTATCTTTGTCCCTGAGAATGCACATCAGAGAGCATTCTAGCACACCTTCTCCGACCAGTACAAATCCGAACCAAACATTCAAGGTAAGTTATATTCTGCTTATTTTTATTGGAAATATCCCAGGTTATTACACATAATTTATTCTTGTGTCCTGAGCGATTTTTTGATCTGCTGGGATGTTTTAAAACTTTACACAACCAAAAATAACCACTAACTTGTTACCCCAGTTTCCTAACCAAACGTCCCCTCTAACCACTACCCTCTCTCCCCAGTGTTACCAGTGTAACCAAGTCTTCACTACAAGCAGTGAGATGATCACCCACATGACCACCCACTCTGCTGACAAGAACCTGCGGTGTGACCAGTGTGACAAGAGTTTCACACATTGCACCCAGCTCACTGCTCACGCTCGCCAGCACATGGTCCCCAAGAACCATCGCCGCATTCAGTAAGTTCCCACTCCTCCAAGTCCCTATTCTCTTATCTCCCTCCTGTCGTTATCCCTATTTTAGAAGTTCATTGTTAAGTTTCTGGCTCGTATTGTCCAGGCGTAAAGTACTTTTCCTTGATCCTTCACTTTTCAAGTTTCCCTGAGACTAATGCTCTTGTTAAATATGTTTTACTCACGTAGATGCGAGCTGTGTGCGAAGAAATTCAGCACCCCCTGGACACTGAAGGAGCACATGAGGACACACACGGGGGACAAGCCCTTCAAATGCAATCACTGCGGCAAAGCTTTCGCTCACCACAGCAACATGATCAGACACACAAGGACGCACACCGGGGAAAGACCCTTCAAATGCGGATTTTGTGGTGAGTTTATCTAGATTTTACAGCTGTGTAACAACTTGGATTATAACTAATCGGTGTTTTTACGGCGTGTAACTTTATCACACTGTGTCAACTTGTCCACAAAGTGATGAAGCACGTTGAAACCGGCATTCTCTGTTCTGCAAGAAAACTGCTTTAGCTCTTTTTCCGCGTCTCTACATCATTAAACTGAGTCTCGAGCTGATCTATTACATTTATGGTTGCACAATTTCCTCTGTATAAGTACCAGCTGTTCCGTGTTACTTATAAGGCTAATATCAGACTGAAGTGTTAAACGTGTCTATATACTAGTATACATGTTCTCCTCTCTCTAACACGGCACCCTTTTCAGGAAAAGCATTCTCGGTACACTCAAACCTGACCGCTCACATTCCGACCCACACTGGCGTGAAGCAGTTCAAGTGTACTAAGTGCGAGAAATCCTTTGTCCACGCTTCCTCCCTCCACAAGCACATGAAGACACATTCCGCTCCCAAACAAGGTAAATAGCCCCTTTATATTTGTACTTTTTGGTGCTTTGTCTGTTTATTTGTCTGGGTAATGTGAAGATGTATGGTGACGATAATGGGCTAGAAATGAAGGCTGTGTGGCTAGTAAGGTTGTACTGCACTCTAATACCGGCTGTATACATCTGCCGGCGAGTATCCTGCTTACAGGAGACTAAGGACTCTATATTGAAGATGACACGATCTCATACAATAGTACAAGTAGGAAACGTCTGACAGGCCAGGGTACCCCAGTGGGCTGCAGTAGAACTGCCCTCACGTGCCCTCACATGTACTTGTCACGTGAGCTAATTAAAGGGAGCCCTAACCAGACCCCCCGGCCCCACCACCTCATGAACTCTGCCTAAAGAATGCGAATTAAATCAGCGATAAGACCTCGGTATACGGGGTGAACTTTTACCTTCTCACTAATCACCCAACAACCCAACATAACCTTGTCTCCTCTTTCAGGCACTGCCTTACATAACAATTGGAAGGCGGACACTACTCTGACCGGATGGAAGGAACCCGCCCTGCCCATGACGTGGCCCAAGACTGAGCTAAACATGGCTCTGGGACATGCTTGGAAGACAGAGGAGACCGAGGTAGCAGCCACTTCCTTTTCACTTTTCAGCTCCGCTAGCGCACTGGTAACTTGAACTTGCAAATCACATTTAGGTGTCAATGATATGTTTTCTGCATTTTATTCATCTTATTCATCCTATTTGAGCAGCAAGCTAACCTGGTTGCTTCAGGTAACAAGCACGTGCGAGTCACCTCCGACCTCCTCCCTGGCCCACATCCAGTCCCTGTCCCACCCCATGTCTCACGCCATGATACCCCAAATACAGAACGTCACCACCTCCCAGCTGCAGTCCTCGCAGCTCGACTGGAAGACCGGAGCTCTTGCTCTCAACAACTCCATCAGGTAGTCCTGCACACTTAGGGAGATCCTAAGCGAGTGCTGCACTCGCTCTAACCGATGTAGTGTGCTATACCTCTAGAGATCGTAGTGAAGCAAGAAAAGAAGGTGCAGGACCTTATTCCTTGATAGCCATCGTCCAGCTTATAATGTGTTACAGAAGAACTTTTTAGTGAGTTGAAGTTATTATTAAGTTATTAATTGCTATTTCGATGGATGACTTATTTTATTTAAAGGACGTGTGTTTTCTGTTATAGAGTAGAAATTTAGGCTGCACGTGTACGTTAGGAGCCACCTAAAGACAACTATATATTGACATTGAATGTGATGAGGACCGATTTGAGGCAAAACCTCAACTGGATGATGTAATGTTGCTCTTGGGAGCAACAAATCCAACTTGTATTTTATAAATAAGTTTGTTCTTGCTCATCGAGCTGATATATATTTAAGCTTTAATATATTACAATTTTATTGGAAGGTGTATATGTTGATAGCTTACGTACAGAGCTATCTTTTTCTGTCGAGATTCAATATAGAAAATTTCACGAATAAAGTGAAACAAATCAAACCTGTTTACTTTCAATCTTTGTTGAATACAACGTAATGAAAAGTAATCATTATGCTAGAAAAATTAGAGAATATTAAGTTTTTAACCTTATCTTACTCATAAAACACCCGTGTGAAGTTTAGTTGAATGTTCGGAAAAGTTGTTTGACCGTTCCAATTTTACATGACTTGCCAACGAAGAACTTTTGACTTGAAGAATTTGGCATTATAGAATTGTGTCTAGAATTGAAAACTAAAGTTTTAACTTCAAGTGTTGTTGCTTAAAGTTTTGAACAGTGACATATGATAGATTCTAGTGTTACATTAAAGAAACTATAAGCTTTAGTGTTAAGTTGAATTGTACTTTGTATTTTATCATTGTACTACGTACGTATAATATTTTTAGTCAATGAAAAACAGTTTTTATTTCTTGTTAAAACCCGTTAGGCACATTTAAATAAATCGACAATAATTGAAGTTGGTAAATCAAATGCTCCGTGATTAATTAAATCATTGTAATAAAACAAATTGGACGACTAAAATTGTAGAGCGAGCCTGGGATACATGAAATAAAGTAAAACAAGTTGATGATACTGACTTAAAGTAGCACTGGCATTTGGGTAATATGTCGATATATCTCCCTCTCCCTCTCCCTCTCCCTCTCCCTCTCCCTCTCCCTCTCCCTCTCCCTCTCCCTCTCCCTCTCCCTCTCCCTCTCCCTCTCCCTCTCCCTCTCCCTCTCCCTCTCCCTCTCCCTCTCCCTCTCCCTCTCCCTCTCCCTCTCCCTCTCCCTCTCCCTCTCCCTCTCCCTCTCCCTCTCCCTCTCCCTCTCCCTCTCCCTCTCCCTCTCCCTCTCCCTCTCCCTCTCCCTCTCCCTCTCCCTCTCCCTCTCCCTCTCCCTCTCCCTCTCCCTCTCCCTCTCCCTCTCCCTCTCCCTCTCCCTCTCCCTCTCCCTCTCCCTCTCCCTCTCCCTCTCCCTCTCCCTCTCCCTCTCCCTCTCCCTCTCCCTCTCCCTCTCCCTCTCCCTCTCCCTCTCCCTCTCCCTCTCCCTCTCCCTCTCCCTCTCCCTCTCCCTCTCCCTCTCCCTCTCCCTCTCCCTCTCCCTCTCCCTCTCCCTCTCCCTCTCCCTCTCCCTCTCCCTCTCCCTCTCCCTCTCCCTCTCCCTCTCCCTCTCCCTCTCCCTCTCCCTCGTGTTTAACTTCAACTAGTGACCTCTCGACCGTGCATCAAGTTGTCACTTGTCATCATTATCAATCTAACCGTGCTCCCTTCCAGTTTTATATTATTTAAACTTTGAGACATTTGGTAAAGCGTGCTCAATCACTTTACACTGGCTGAAACCAGCTTTGATCGATTTATTTTTTAACACTGACTCCGAATCACCCCACAATCCACATGACATAAAGTTAAAATGCTTCGCTGCAATTATCGGCGAAAAACTGTTTCGATCACGTGACTTGACCATTAATAAGGAATTAGGTCAAATTTATCGTTAGGTTTCCGTTTAGCTAACTCTACTGTGATGTGTGACGCCAACCCTAACAGTAACATAACCTTAACCCAATCCCTAGAGGTTGAGTAAATGTTTGAGTTAGGGATTGGGTTAAGGTTATGTTAGGATTGGCGTCAGAGTAGAACTAAAGGGTTAGGGTTAAGTTTTGAATTGTCCGTTAGAGCTATATATTTCTCGGTTCGTTTTACCTATAATGTATAAACATATTCATTTCTTTAGCAAGCCTGTAATTACATTAATGACAATGTAATGTACTGTGAGTGTGAGCTGGTCCCAACTTTTCATTACAATAACCCTGTCTAGTCGTTGACTTCTGATGCTTATAGAGAACCCATTAGAACCCATTATATAGACATTGTAGAGTCTAATTTAGACTTATAGTCTCTAGATAATCCAGTGTAGGTCAGTGGTTTATCATCATCCACATTTGGTACTAGATTAAACAAGATCTGACTATAAATGCTTTTTAAATTGCAGTGTCTATCAGAGTATTTTCAATGTTAGGGTTTTAGTGTGCGATTACTGTCCCTCAACTTTGAACCTTGCGTTTAAAGCGGACGTGTGTAAAATGACACAGTTTTACTATAACCATGTGCTAGACTGCTAGACTGTAGTAAGTGAACGTTTGATGTGTGTCACTGTGTCGATCAAGTGCCGGACGAATTATATTACCACGCTCCCTAGTAATAAGGGAATCATAAATGAATACAACATATAATTGTATCAGTACATACAGTGCTGATACATACAGTGCTGATATAAAGTGCTGATATAAAGCACGGGGAGGGGGTGGGGAAGAAGGGAAGGCTTTGCTCTCCTTAGTACCTAGTTACTCTGCACTAGCCAGTCGACATGAATTAATTCATTCCCAGCTAACATTTTTGTTCCTTCTTGAGAGAGAATGGAAAATAAAAGGTACCACTTTAAGAATTTTGCTACTCAAGTCTCAACCATGGTCTTGAGAACCATTTTCTCACTCAACTCGTAGCCTCCCAACTTCCTAACTCAAAACAGTGTTTTCTGCTCTTCGGTATATACCTCTACTAAAACTTTTGGGCCACTCCGCTTTGATCTAGACATTTTGATATTGCTCTTAGTGTGACAATATGATTGTAGGTATCCTGATTCAAAAAAGTTTAATTCATCCAGTTGCATTGCAATAATGCAATAAAGCTATAAAATCGAAAAATCATAAACGTTAGCTGGAAACCCGAGCTACTTTCGAGCATCCAGAAACCGTAAGCATCAATAATTATTATTTCTGACACTTCCAGTTCCACGAAATTCCAGGCTGAAGAACCTTGAGTATGGAGTATAATATAAAAGTAGCATTATCCAACGTATTTTTTAATATTGATTCCGAAACTCCCCCTATGACATAGGGCTAAACTTAAAACGCTTTCTTGAGGAGTCATTAGCAAAAAACTGTTTTGGTCACGTGACAGGCCAATAAATTAGTAAAAGCCAATGCCAGGTCAGCTTTTAGTTTCTGCTTATGAATTTGAGATATTATATATTGAAAATTGTAACTAGTTTCAAGTCAACCGTTCCACCAAATCCACTTAATTTTGAATTTTGCCGTTTAACTCTTTAACTTTCTGTCGCTCATAACCATGTTACGAGTCTATGCGCTCAGCGCGGTGGCCTCCACACTTATTTACGGTGTACTGGACACTGGTATGGTTACAAAGTACCTAAAAATACGACCAGCTACTTAAAGTTAAAGCCCTATTCTCCCCTTCTATAGGAATAAAACCAATTAAACCGTTCTGACCGTGTGTCTCCGGTCTAAATTTTGAACATGTTGTTTAACTAAAAGGGTTCTGAGAATATATAATCGGTGTGCGTTTGGATTTGCAATTCTCTCGGATGAGCTGTATGACATGGTGTAAAATTATTCCCTGAGAAGTTATACTGTCTAAGTCACGTGACCAGCGAATGATCGTTGTTAAGAGTGTAAGGCACAAGGGTTAGACTTAGGGATCGTTCATTTATTACGTACTACCTCCTTCCCCTCCTTACTCCTTCCCCTATTATGGTGTAGGCACCAGCTGAAGTGCATTTCCAAACCCCCACCCCCTAGGCTGACTTACGTAACATATGTATCATCCCTTAGGGTGTCTATTTGGCCAGAATACAGTAAAAATAAATGTCAGGAGAAACATTTTGGTACGAGCTACTTAGTAAGTGCCCCTAACAGTCCCTTGGTACATCCCTTTCTCTGGTAACTAATTGTATATAAACTACCATACCAACCATTTAACCACGTTTTACTACCAAACTACTACTTACACTTCCTTTTGTAACTTTGTAAGGACCCAATCTTCTATGGAATCCAATTTAGAGCCTGAAACTCTGAAACTGGTTATGTCCAGAGAGGCCGGAGACAAAATCAAACTATGAGTAGCTCCTGGTAAGCCCTCGGTAAGCTCCTCCCTTCACTAACAACGTACTCTGATTCCCACCCCCATTTGTAGAAAACAATTTATTTATCGTTACTCTGATCCATTTTTATTTGTACACGTGACCACTGACTGGCTGACCAAACAATTGAGTGCGCTCCCTTTCACTAAATCGATCGCCCAATATTTTTAAAAAATCTTGTTATAAGGCTTTGAGCATATGTGATATGAAAGTAGCGTTATTCGATGTATTTTTCTTCACAATTGGTGTACAAATTCAGTTTTGCTATTATATCACTGACTATTTTGTTAAATGATTATCATCATCTTTCCTATTCAAGATAAAGAATAAAGATAAAATGAAAATGCTATTTCTGGTGATATTGACCGCTATTGTCTTGATCCACGTTGGCACCTCCGGTACTGTTGAGTATGCAAAACACTGGAGAACTGACAGCAGATGTGGCAGCAGACATGGACACAAGGTTTAAGATTTATCTAATTTGTATTTACTTTTAGTTATTGTACATTTCCCTTAAGTTTACGCTTATTGCTTAACCTCGTCACAGAATTAACTGTTGTTGGTTATTTGTGACACTGTGAACCATATTAAGGTGGAGGTAGAAGGAGAGCTAGTATCAGGACACTGCAAGCCTCGCTCTACTCACGGTTACTCCTGCTGCTCAAGGTGGGGCTGGTGTGGGACTAGTCATAGTCACTGTTCCTGTCAGCACTGTGTCAAGTATATCGAACAACCCGCCATATTACAGTATGTGTCTTCTAATATTTGTTTATATTATATTTATTAACATGGTATCACTAATAATGTTATCTAAATCACTTCGAGCCCGGATAGTGGAGTGAAATATTTCAACCCTCATTGTCGACCATTTTTAAAACAGTGTTAATAGTGTAAACACTAATATGTTTACATTGAGGGGTCGTTCACACATTACGTATTCAATAGTTTAGCTATTTTTACCCCCTCCCCCCTCCGTAATCAACCGTAATCAAGACCCAACCCCCTCCCCACCTGACAGCAATATTACGTAATCATAGCCTGACTCTAGCCCCCTACCTAAAAAAACAATTTGTTGCCCTTTTATCGTATTTCGACCTTCAACAATTTTCGAGTTCGAACACAAGGGTCCCCCCTTGTATGTTTTGTAAAATTCGTTTTTAAGTCAAACATTTTCCTGGAAACTACTTTTCTCCACAGTTCATATCACCCTGATCATTATAAGCCGAAAATATTTTTCAGGACCTAGCCCTCGAGAATTTTTCCTGGAGATTAATAAAATTTCTGATTGATATCCGGCCAATCACCTTCTAAACTACTTACTATAGTCGAATATCCGATCAATTTCTAAATTGTATCACTATCACTATCAGAGTGAAATTGAGTGGAATTTGTATTAAAATATTGTCAAATTTTTATCATTCTAGAGGGTACTAAAATAGAAAATTTTGATTACGTAATCAAAGACCAAACCCCCCCCCCCCCCCCCCCGTAATCAACCGTAAGCATTTGGCTGATTACGTAATATGTGAACGACCCCTTATACAATTAAAATGTAACCATATTATTAGGGCAGACGAAAAGAAAAGAAGTCAGATGAGTCTGACAGATATCGCAATAGAGCCCTACTTGAAAGAAGTTGACTGTTCTCAACTTTCCGGGACTGACCAATTCCATCAGCAATTTATTTCAGGCATTGGATTTTTTGTCACTGAAACCGAAACTGGGAAATGGGAATCCGGAATGAACATGATTTCTTGTTTTTCTTTCAAAAATTCGTAAATGAAAGTCATGATAGTGATACTGAAATTATGCTATTTTGAAAACTGACGAATTTCTTTTGTTGCATAACTTCTAATGGAGGTTCACAGTAGGTCGCATTAATCATAACTTTCCACCTTTCATTTCTGGGTGTTGCTGGGAAAATGTGTGACGTTTTCCACCAATTTGATATTTGAGTACAGGGTATCAATTTCCCTAAAATCTTGATCATGAAGGTAGCATAAAATAACATCACTGTATCTTTGTCCAGACAGTTGCCAGTACAGTAGCAGAAACATATCAACATTCAACATACATTACATCTATTCTAGCGCTATGTCAGTATTCCTCGTCCTCCTTCTCTTCCTGGTCCCCTTGACTGAGTCACAAGTTCTGATCCACTACCACCCCACTAAAGTAAACCGATGTGGTCCTCGTCACAAGGTTACTGACGAAGAAGGAGTGCAACATGCGACTGCGTGCAGAGTGGCTCCAGATCGGGCGTTTAGGTTAGTTACCTTATTTATTCTAAGTTTTCTGGTCCTCGCCATTCCGTTTTGAGAGGTTACACCGTAAACTGTTTCTCTTTACCGATTTTCTTTACTATTTCTCTTTACTCATACTGTTTTTCTTTACTGTTTCACTGTTTCTCTTCAGGTGTTGCTCCAGACATGGGTGGTGTGGAGATTCGTCCTACCACTGCTGTCCCACCTGTCCCAAATACTACTCCTTCACCGCCACCAAGACTTTCTCCAGCAAGTCTGAATTTGTTACTTACGAGTATTCTGACGGAGGAACAGTGGCCGATTGTTCGAATGCACTGGAAATGGATCCAACTAATAAAGGATTTATAAATTCTGTAGTTTTTCACAATGACAGCGGACAGGTTTTGATTGATGAGTTCACGTGCTTTGCAGAAAGTTTGATGATAAAAAGTGATTTAGAATGATGTCTGACTGTTCAGTTTGGAAAAATTATGTTTAAACTTATTTCTTGTGTTTGTAGATTTGTTAATGAAACAGTTGATAATTTGTTTGATTTTGAATACGGTATATCGATCCAGTCACTTGAAAAATGGTGCATTATTTTTTTTAATTCTGTAGATCGAAAAACGTTGAGGGGGGGGGGGGGGCTGACCATATTAAAGTATATTAAAGTATATCCCCGCCCCTAAATCGAGAAAAACCCTACATTTTAATATACCTTAATATACCCAAAATTAGTATTTAGTCGAGCTATATTCATCGTTTAGATTTGCAAGATAAGTCTGTTTTTGGACTAGTACATGAATTTACATCCAGTTTGGTAAAAAAATGGCTGAGTTATGAGTTTTAGATATATGCCCATATTTGGGCATACGCACCAAATATGAAAGCTTTCGCCCAAAATTCGATCAAATTTCAATATTTTTGAATGAGACTAACTTTATGAAAGATATTGCTCAATATTTGTTGAATAGTGGATACAATTAAAAAGACCTCCATGAACAAAAGTGCACATAATATCTCGGTTCGGGATACTAGCCAAAATGACTTCATTAAAATTGAAATAACTCCATCAGTTTTCAATATTTTTGCATGAAATTTTCGGAATCGATTAAGAATTGCATTTCAAGCTTATTGTGGGCAGCGATTTTGATTTAGGCCACCAAAAAGATAAATTATATTAAAGTGTATTAAAGTATATTAAAGTATATTAAAGTATATTGAAGTATATTAAAGTATATTAAAGTATATTAAATTATATTTTAAAATATATTAAATTATATTAAAGTATATTAAAGTATATTAAAGTATATTAAAGTATATTAAAGTATATTAAAGTATATTAAAGTATATTAAAGTATATTAAAGTATATCCCAACCCTTGAATAAATTGAAACCCTCCCACCCTCCCTCTCTCCCTCCCTCCCTCAGATTTCCCAGGATAATTATTTTTTGATTCTTTTTTTAAATCCCTGAACCGTGAATTATTAGAGTAAACGCGTCCCATCTCCTTCAAGTTAAACATATCCACGAAAGCCCATGGCTTATCTAGCTTTGATGTCAGACATCCGGTTGTGAGCTACTCAATGTTTCCCAGGCTATGAATTAAGAGTTGATGCTTATCTTATCAGATATCGTGCCGGTTATTTGGACCAGGTAAGTTGCAGTGGGTCTAGTTCAAATGAAAAAGTATATACCGTCTAATCGGGCGGAATAAACTAATTTTGCAAATTGTTGTGATCTGAACCCATGTAGTACGATCAGTTAAATCAAACCACGTGTCCCGGGTTTTGCTTCAATTTGCTCCAAACATTTCCCATGGCTATTAGATACCAAGGTATATAAAAATCTGAAGAAATTTCCACAAGTAACTTACGATCAAATCACCGAAATGAGTTTCTCCTATCAGTTAGCTAGTTTATCTTGCGCACTCATCTTAGTGCAACTTTTGTCCATTTCTTCTGCTTCTTGTCACGCAGACGACCTCAAGAACAGCCTGGAGGAGATTACTAAAATACACCGAGATTCTATAGATATTCTGATAGATGTACTGGATAACACCCCTCACGATACGATCACTTACTTGGACCTGGAGGGGTTTGTGGACGCCAAAACTGCTTATGATTCACAAAAACGCAAATACGTAACTGCAGCGAAGAAGATTTACGAGCTCTCTTGGAAATTGGAGAGGAGTTTCAACGATAACGGCAAGTGGAGACGCTTCAGCAAGTCGGCTGTTCAGATCCGGAACAAGACGAACATTCTGAATCAGACGTGTTTTAAAGAGTACGCGATAGTGGTGGACTTGACAGGCGGAGAAGGTGTCTTGGTGGATAAACTTCTTGAAGCTGTCCTGGAGATGTTCATTGCGGAGACTTTTCTCAACGAACATTTCAACCATCTCGCTGAGCCTTACAGCAAAATTTAGAGATATTTTGGTATTTAAGATGATAGCAGTAGTAGTAGTAGAAGATTAGAAGAAGATTACTTGTAAACGTAGACATTAGTTGTAGTGTAGCTATAGAGACATATTATACAATAGTTATTTTATACATTTCAAGTATATATTATATACTAGCTTATTAAAGGATAATTAGCATAGTTAACAAAACGTGGATTATACTTATAATAGTATTCTTTAGATGTAGAATTATGAAAATTTGTATTTATTTTAGCAACACATTTAATCAAATATTATATCAATAGTATTTTATCAATGCTAAACATTTTTTCAAGGTTCCGACTTGAAAAGTTGATATGGAAGTTAACTGCTAAGGTAGGGTTATAAATCAAGAGGCTTGCATATAATGAACATATTGACACGGGTGCAGAGTTGAGTCTGTACGGAACCTAGTAGTTACAGATCCTTGTTTAACTTGCCGTACAGCATGGTCATCCACTACTTTAGCCCGGCGAGGCACATAACTCCCTCTACAACTCCATGACAAATGTTTCATATATACTAGCCGAGTTCACAAGTTATATCCTTGTGTTTGAGAAGAGCACGTTAGAACTGCTTCCTTATGGTTAGTTTAGGTAGCAAATTTCCATTTGGAAGGTCGTTTTAGATTTACTATTCATTGTTATTTTTCAAGTCGGACCTTAAAGTTTAAATAAGTCTTGATAATGTTTGCTTTCGTAGAGAGCGAACTTTCTCTTTCAGCTGCAGCCTAAACTTGTAAACTTTTACAGATTTTCAAGTTTTATAAAACTGATCGTGCTCAGTTTAATGATACTTTAGTCTTGAACAGATCATGGGTGCAGCTGAAGTGAAAGTTAATCTTGATTCATTTTGAATCAATCTTGATTTTAGAATTAAAATTTATATACATCATAGTTAACTTATCAACTATACTGATTTTTAGTTTGTAATTATATTTTGATGTGACTAAATTTTAGAAAATTCCGATTATACATAATTTTGGTTTTTAATTTTGATCAATACGAACTGAATCGCCCAAAATTAAATTAAAAAGTAAATGAGACACAAAAATGTAAATCTCTCATAAGCCATAATCTTGAAAGTTACTGGTAACAAATTAATTAGTCGGGTTTCTTTTCGCTCCAGAGTCCAGAAGCAGCACATTTTAGTACGGAGGTTATACATCATAGTTAACTTCCTATTTGATGGAAGGAAGCTCATCAGCCTCATTATTACATGAATTTAAAATGCAAGTAATAAAATGTCGCTTTAAAGATAAGACATTTTGAATTCAGAATTTTAATCAACCGGTATTTTCTGGTAGATCAGGAGCTTTAATGACTAATACTTACCACTTTCACGCGATATAATCGCCCAAAATGTTACATAAATCCAAACTTTGAGTATACGTTTTGTCTGAATCATAACGTACATTGTAACGATGATATCATTTCAATACTAGAAATTAGCTGTTCTTACGAAATGCCAAATATTCGCTATGGAATGTATACCACGGATTTCTCACAGAGAAATCAGTCACGCCTACAATATCATTTGCTCTATTGTCATCTTGTTGTTGTTGCTTATCTCGAGTAGAAATGAAATCTGCAGTAGTGCTAGTCATGTTAGGTGTCCTCATTCAGTTCCACTTCGGGAACTTTCAAAAGGTGAGGTTCTCAAATCCTCAACGCTGGCATGATCCTGCAGCAGTAAAAAAGAACCGTTGCGGAAGGAACGGGAAAGTGGAATTTGAAGGAAGGAATGTGACTGGACACTGCCGACCTCGACCTGGGCTGGGGTATTCTTGCTGCTCCGAACATATGTTCTGTGGCGAGTCTGCTGACCACTGCGACTGTGACAAATGTATAAAGTTCATCGGGTAAGCTTCCAACTGGACATTAAATTCGATCATTTTAACTGATTCTCCGCATTATCTTATTATTAATCTCAGGGCCCTGAAGCCTGAAGCTCAAATTAACTTGAACAATGGCGAACAAAGCCTTCTTTTAGCACAGTATAATTATTAATTTATCTTGATGAGTGAACTAAATCCAGAATTCTGATCGATCACATTATCTTTAAAACACAATTTGATTTCCAAACTAACTGATCCGTCTCTATCAGAGTTGAGATGAAGAGAAGTCGTACGAGCGTGGAAGATATAACCATTTATCCGTATTTGAATAAAGCTAACTGTCCCGCTCTAACGGGGGTGCTACCAGGAAAGCAGAGAGGAAGTTTCGTGACCGGGATTAGATTTATTGTCAACGGCAAAGAGTCAGGAGAGGAAAAGTGGCAAGCACTGTTCAACCAAATTTCTTGTCTTTCTATTGAGACGAAAGGTGACCTCTGAATGACTGGTCTCAATAAATTTTATGCTTGTATTTATACTAATGTTTTTAAAACGTCGCGTTTGTTTAATTATTCCACATTATTAGTATTCATTATCCGTTTCCCTTGATCGCATAAAAGGAATTATCCGAAATTCTGAATATTATCAGTATAATCAGGAATCATCACTTTATGAGAAAGAAAACTTAGGTTTCAAACTTTACAAATTCGCATTCCACTGTTGCTGATAGATAAAATGATGTGTTTCATTACTTAATTCAAGATTAATTAGATTTTAGCTATGTCATTATCCCTCCTCCTTCTCTTCCTGATCCCCCTGTCTGAGTCACAAGTTCAGATCCACTACCACCCCACTAAAGTAAACCGATGTGGTCCTCGTCACAAGATCATTGGCGAGGATGGATTAGAGCATTCTACAGCGTGTCCAACCAGCCAAGATCATCCTGTCAAGTGAGACAAACTAGTTACTAGTTACTAATCCTACACTATTATTCATACTGAGAAAGTGAAGCTCCAGTTGTAATTATAATTATAATAATTATAAAAATTAATTATAATAATTATAAAAGTTAATTATAATAGTTATAATTCCTTTCAGATGTTGCTCCCTATCTGGACACTGCGGATTCTCGGTAGAGCACTGTGATTGCGACCATCCCTGGTGCAATAAATACTACTTTTACAACAGAGCATTCTCCAGTAGATCAGAGTTTGTCACTGTAAATTTCCCAGATGGTGGGTCAGAGGTCGATTGCTCAGCTGCTTTACAGCGGAGAAGTCAAGGGTTTTTGAATAAGATCGTATTTGAAAATAAGAACAATCTGATATTAACAAGCTTTACTTGTTTTGGGGAAACTTTTGTGATTAACGATTATTCATGAACTGGATTTGCTTAATTTTTTTCGATGATCTCAAACAAAATAAAATATCATTTAACTTGAAATATCAATTATCAAATATTATACATTTATCACATGCCTTCTCATGCGATATCAAAACTTTCGCCCACGAGGCTTGCCGAGTTAGCGAAAGTTTCGATATTTCCCGAGGCTTGCTCGACATTTTCAATCACGAGGCTTGCCGAGTTTTGAAAATGTTGATATCGCATGAGAAGGCATGTGATTAATGTTTTATCACACTTTCTTTGGAGCCAAATTTGGCCGGGAAAGCAGAATTTGATCAAACGTTAGTTATAACTGTCACCAAAGCAAACTAGACATGTCGAACTTATTTATGTTTATAATATTCAAACTATATATTATAGCTCTCGATGAGTTAGTATTTCAGATATCGAAGATACAATACGTACAATTAAGATCTCACGTGCTCATCACATTTATGACACAGTGAATGCTGTATGCCGCGCCCAATTTGCTTTATAATCATAAGTGATACGTAGTGCATTGAATATTATTATATTTATCGACCATGGGACTTGTACTTATTGGCGTCTAGAATATTCCGCCACGATCACCGCGTCTTATTAATCACAAATTATATCCTGCATATTAATTGGTGTGAGGTAATTTTATACTTGATCATTACTACCGAAAATATACTATATATATAAATATACATCCGTTCAAGTGTTGATTAAATACATCAGAGTCCTTATCATAAATGTGTATCTGCGATAAGGTGAAAGTATTTCCTAGTTCTTGTATTTAAATAGAGTTGTGGAGCTATAATTAGTATCTATAATCTATCAGTCCACATTATACACCACAGGCCCTAATTCACATCAAAAATGTTATCGTCCGTTTTGATTCTTGACTGTCTGTTATTTCAAAATGATTTAATCAATGCAACTTGTAATCGTTGACAAGTTAGAATTTTATCGAGTATATAAGTCTGCTTTATAGTTCTTAGTCAGTATTCATCTTCCTTGCCATAATTTGCCATTATTTGGAGCCAAATTTGGCCGGGAAAGCAGAATTTGATCAAACTTTAGTTATAAATCTCACCAAAGCAAACTAGACATGTCGAACTTATTTATGTTTATAATATTCAAACTATATATTATAGCTCTCGATGAGTTAGTATTTCAGATATCGAAGATACAATACGTACAATTAAGATCTCACGTGCTCATCACATTTATGACACAGTGAATGCTGTATGCCGCGCCCAATTTGCTTTATAATCATAAGTGATACGTAGTGCATTGAATATTATTATATTTATCGACCATGGGACTTGTACTTATTGGCGTCTAGAATATTCCGCCACGAGCGCGTTTGATACGTAATTAATACATCCTGCAAATCAATCGATGTTTGGTGATTCTAATACTTTATTTCTATTAGATATTTTTAGAGTCATTAAAACTGTAGAATCTATGTATGATGTATAGAACATCCGTTTAAACGTTGATTATACATCACAGTCCTTATCGTATAATCTGTATCTGCGATAAGGTGAAAGAATTTCCTAGTTCTTGTATTTGAATAGAGCTGTGGGCTATTTATCAGTCCACATTATACACTACACACCCTAATTTACATCAACAATATCATCGTCCGTCTTGATTCTTGATTGTCTGTTATTTCAGAATGATTTAATCAATGCAACTTGTAAACGTTGACTTAGAATTTTATCGAGTATATTCTACTTAGTTCTTAGTCAGTATTCATCTTTACTTGCCATTATCTGCTTCGCTAGAAATCATCTGAACTGGAAATTATCAGAACAGTTGTAATAATTAAATGTATCTCTTCAACATTTTAGAACGCAGTACTCCACCAGCCTATAACCACCCTGGTCATGGCCAGGTAGTTCACCCGTACTGTTACCAATATTGAATTGGTCTAAAGAATGGCAGCACATTAATCATCGGACCTGTTTGCCACAGTGCCCAGACTGATTTATAACCAGATTAGCTGATTAAGTTACGTCATTCGTCCCTTGATATATTTATATAGATAATATATTTTATAGGATGTTTTTATTGCACTTATTTGCACTAACTAAAATTCAGTTAAAACTGGTCCTAGGATAGAATTTACGCTCTTTATTGTACAGAATCTATAAGTCTCTTTATCAGTCTGTTTATAGATCAGCCACGAATTTCGCAAGCTAATCTAGGCGAAACCGGTTTGGAAAAGCCAAGTATAATTTCTGCACAATTTCTATATGGAATATGGCTCAAAGAAGGGATCAGAGGGGGTTTAAATTCAGGTCTGAAATGGCTGAAATCTGGCTTTGTTTTGTGTGTTTTCTTCCTTCGAATAGATCAAACATCGTTTCTGTGTTTACTACTTTTTGTGAGGGTGACTGTAGTTTGTTCTGACACTTCCTTTTTAATTTCAAGTAAGCAATTAAGGAAATTAATGAGCCTGATTAATTGTATCGCTGACAAGTACCAAAACTTTGTGCAACTTTCAAGTCTGCTTGTAAACTTTGATCTCGTTTTCAGTAACCTTAAGTCGCTTGAAACTCGTACAAACCAGGGAGTTTTTACTTTGTTTCATCATCCGAAGCCTAATTAGGTTTTGAACTATGAAGTGCAGTAAAAAAGCAACAGTTTGAAAAAGTTTTACAACAAAAAATTGTATTTTGCTTAACACATCTCAAACGCAAGGAAATGTTTTTAAAACAAGGTATAAATATATTTTTCCACAATCTGGAAAGTTTATCTGATCATTGCATTTACGGTCATAGACTACTTCAGGTTGTTGATTTAAATCTTTATTTAAATCAGTACCTCACAGTAGTAGAGCAGTTGTTGAGAGTGGGCTCCTTGTTCCTATGGGAATATCGGACTCTCTCTGAGCAACTGATTGATATTTCATGCCCCCGGGTGAGAGCCTGTGCTCCCCATCGGGACATGTAATATCAATTCTGCTTTCCTGCCAAATTTGGCTCGAAAGTGTGATAATATTATGTACACTGTATACAAGGAAATAAAAATGCAAATGAAAGCTTGGCTACTAAATTCTCAACTCTGAAACGTGACATAAAACTTCTGACTAATAAAATCTCTGACTGACACCCAACCGTCCATAAGATACTTACATTCGAATTACCCACTTAAATAAGATTATCAGAATTCGTTTTCAAGATCTGGCTACAAAGTCCTCGTAGTGGGGGTGTTCGAGAAGAGAATTTGAGAGAAGATTTACAAATTCGGAGGGCTGAAGAGTGATGGAAACATCGGTCTTCCCACTGTTTATCTGTAAAATCAGTAGTAACTAAAACGAGGAAACACAGTTTGTAAGCTTTAATGAAAACTTTCGCTATGACATATGAAAAAGTTTGTATCTCTATCATTTCGATAATACAGCCAAAAATGGTGAGCGCTATAAATTATAAATGGTATCTGTACCTTGGTCCAGATGACGTCAGTAGATCTGCAGAGCACACTAACTGGGCACCTGTTGACTTGAGTAATGGCCCACGAGCAGGCTTTATCAGCAAACTCAGCAGAGAAGGGCTGCAGTCCAGCAGTCCAAGCTATACCACCGTGTATCACATCAACCAACTGGGATTGTAGCTAATGTTTGCATCGAGTTATAGGAAAAGTGTATTATTCCTGCATATTTAAAAGGAGAAGAATCATTAGACTGGTTTTAATAATAATTGGCATCGTATATTTTTTGCTATGGTGGTTATATAAACTTACTCTGTTCTGTCTAATTTGCATTCCCCAATCTTCAGATTCCTTCTCTCTATGCATTTTGTACTCAGCAGCGAGGGGCATTCTTTTCAGCAGCAACTCCACCTGAAATTTTTCAAGTCAAACCCTTGTTAAAGGTCTCGAAATCTAACATCGACTATTACAATTAACTATGTTTTGACAGAGCGAAAGAAAAAATGCTTCAGCGCCTCGGGTCGCGCGGCTTTTTATTTAATAACGATTTCCATGTTTTATTACAAATTTTATAATCGGGTCCCGCGTTCGCTCACTACGGAATTAGCTCTACCTCAGCGTGGGTCTGTAAACTGGTGGTGGCCGAATCGATTTTAAGCTCGAATCGTCTGAATCACAATTAAAGCTATTTAAACTGAGCTTGACAAAGTATATGTGATATCTTCTAGAAGTGTTCTGGTAGACAAAACTAAACTATCTCGCTTTGACTTACTCCGCTTGGGGTCATCTCCATGATTGTATACGCTTCAGCAACTGTGGTTACAGGTTGTCCGTTCACGCTTAGCAGCTGATCTCCAACATGAAACTTGTCCTGTAGCGCTGGTTCTTTCTGGTTCCAACCAGATAGCCTGAATTATGTTACCACTCGAATTTTACTGTTTTTTACTTGCGAAATATTGTGCGGCATTTTCACTGAATTTATTCAGTCATAAGTAGGGTTAAACTAAAACAAAGGGAATCTTTAGAATTTTTAAAATCGCCATAACGACAGAACATGTAATCAAGCTAGATGCAAAATAATATCGTCTGCAACTGAAAGTTAATAAAGTGGAACATGAGTTCCAAACATATATTACGATAATTTTGCAATCAAATTGCACCTAATTTACGTTAAATCAGCAACCGGCTGATGAGAGAAATATAAAACAACGCCATCATCACTCGCCATCATGATACTTTTACCAATCCTACCCGGTGTGCAGGATTCATTTTGTGCTCGGAAACCACTCAGAGGAAGTGCTTGAAGAGGAACTGGACGGGACTGACCTAACGCTTATTATTTTGCTCTTTGGACACCCGGGCTCATCTTCTACTCCTTATTATACCGCCACTTATATATCCCTGTTTCTACTTCATTTCATAGACCACCATGGTGCAATCTCTCGAAAATGATAATAGATGCCTAGATCATGCATATATCTATGTATAGATAAATATATATATATATATATATATATCGCTTTATGTGCTCTCTAGGCGCAAAATAACTGGTATGAGCACAACGGAATTTATAGTAGAAATCGTACATTAGGTGCAGGTACAAACGGTATTTAGCAAGTGTAAAAATGAGCCATGCTTTTTTATTAAGTTAGATATTGTCGGTCACACAAATGTCATCCCAAAAAAAACATAAAAATATTAATTAGTTAGCTAGTGAGATTTATATCGTCTGCAAGTGAGCATTCGGTCCGGGACCGAACTAGACGAACTTCACCCTCAATCATTGTCTTCAGTTCGATACCACTGGTCACATGATATATTCTACTTTCTTCATTAAATCGAACTCTTGAATATCTTTCCTTAGAAAGCAAAATACGTCGCATACTTTTCATCTCACCGAGTACATACGCTTTGAAATGATTCATTCTGCTAAAGTATATAAAAGGGTTGATTGTCGCGTTGAGAGCCACACACAGCACAAAAAGAATGTTCCAGGAATAAGAGGACATCCAGAGGGAGGAGAATAGGGGTCCCGGATACTCGTACTTATAGAGGGTCACCAGGTACAGGATAAACTGTATAAATACTGGTATATTGAACATTATGTAGACCAGTGTCATGATAATTATTGTTATTGTGGCATACACTTTCATTCTGGAGCTGGACCTATTGTTTGAAATGCTCCTTGATTTAAGGATATGAAAGGAGGATAGAGTGCAGCTCACTACGACAGGGATAATCGGGCAACCCAGTTCAACTACGTCCAGGATGGTGTCCATGTTTCTCCATACCTCATTGGAGGCTTCACTATAACAGTAAGTATCATCGGATAGATATAGCATTTTAGACATTCCCAGAGCCATTGGTATTACCGCTTGTAAAGATAAGATCAGGAAGTAAAGTCCCATCACTATCAAGATAGATCTCTTGCGGATCTTGTGCAGTGGGAAGAGTAGGGAGTGGGTTCGAGTCATGCTGAGAATTGTTACCATCGACACGGAAAAATGAGGGACCACCGTGTTGATACTGCCCCAAAACGTACAGAAGCCCTTCAAGCCAAACATCAGTGGCTCCCGATTTCCAATGTAGGAAATAGCAACTGGTAGAGTAAGCAGAGATACTACAATATCCGTCAGCGAAATAGCCAAGTAGATGCAGGTGGAGAGTTCCTTGCGTTGCACTGCAAAGTATCTGAACGCAGTTATATTACCAAGAGTCCCGAACACGAAGCAGAATAAGTGTAGAGAAGCTAAGAACAAGTCCAACTCTCGGATATAAGGTTGCTCTTGTCTGTTTCATTTAAACTTCCCTCTACTAGGAGGAGGGTGTCGTTGGTGCTGGTTATATTTCCTCGTAAGAGGCTAATACTCGACATAACCTGAGTAGATGGATAAGAGGAGAGAGTAATATTAGAACAACAGGAAATAGAGGAGAGAGTAACATTAGAACAACAGGAAATATCGAATATAAGAACAATGTTTATTAAAGAGCTTTACAAAGTATCAAACTAGACTAAACACAAAAGTAGAAGTTGTTGCCGGTCTCTTTCAGGGTACGACACACAAATATAGGCTAGTTCCGTGAAGAAAAAAAACACTCAGCAACAATATAAGATATAAAAGATTGGTAACTAGTCTAATAATGTTAGCTAACTCTTCAAATTATCATCACTAACTGTTAAAGTAACCATCATTAGATGCTAATCCTGCATGAAGACACCTATCCTATCTAACATCCCATAAAAAGATGTACATCTCCATCATAAAGACCCAGGCAGCCTTCAACAAAGTAAAATAAATTTAATTGGAGGTTTCAGCATGAGAATCGGTCTCTTTTAACATTGGTTTAACCTGCCATCACGACCAGGGCTTCGCTTAATCTCCCTTCCAAACTAACAGCTACTCACAGTTAGTATAGAGATGACTTAAACTGTAACAACCTTAAGGGTAGTTCTGTGGACTCTGCAGTGGCTGTGCAATGACATATTCGAAATTTTAAAAGTAAGCTAGACAGAATTAGAACATCAGACCTGGCTTTTAACTTGCGCAGTAAAGTTTTGCGGTAGCTATCAGCCTGGTGCATTAGTTTTACACAGAACAGTTACGGTAGCTCATTATAGCCATTATAAAATCATTCACTACTTATAATCACCAATTACACCATCCAATTACCAAATTAAATACGACAAGTACAAAAGACCCAAAAGAGACAAAATTTCCAAAAAGTTAATTGATGTGCGGCAGGAAGTTTATGCAAACAATTATTTCGGTCAACATAGGTACAGAAATAGTTAAAAGTTTGGCAAAGCAGAAGGAATATCCCTAGATCACGTGACAGGCGGTGAAATATCGTTCTGCAGATTGTTGACAGATTAAGATTTACGAAGATAAACTTAGACATTTAGACTTTTAGAGTGCCCATGTGACCGACAGTAAGTCGCACAGATCTAAATATTGGTGGGGAGGTGAACCTCTTAACTAATGCGTGACAAGTATTAACCAATCAGCTTCCATCATTTATCGATAGAACCCTGTATGGTTAATTTGGTTATAAGGTGTCAAAGCAAATATGGTTCACAACCCCACTATTCTATTTGTCAGAAGTAACACGTTCCTGCAAACCTAACACGTACCAGCAAAACCGCATTAAAATGTGAACCAAATACAAGTGGACAGACATATCACGAATAACAAAATAAGCGCAGGCTTATAAGCAACTAAGCAGCTAAAGTAAGACTGGACGCAGAGTACATTCCTTCACATGCGTCTGATGAATCATATTTTAGGTTCCATTATTTCAGTGACTATCGTTATATAGCACATCTCATAGCGTGCTCCTTAAACCATCAGTAAGCGGAAAATAAAGAAATTATTACTTTGGGAAATAGAGTTCAATATAACATGCAGACCGACCTACTAAACGACAGTTTAAGTAACCCAGAAACCCAGATCTAAAGATGAATAGTCTAGCACCGTTTAAATCTTCATTCTGTTAAAATTTTAATTCTATCCACGTAGACTAGCCCTATAGCCTACCAGGCTCTAAATTTTCATTCTGCTGGAACTTTAATTTGATTCACGTAGCCTACCACAATTAAAATCACTCATCTTTATCTTTCGCACTATAATTACGGAGGCTCTGTAGAAAGTAATTGGGATACCTACAATCTAAATCGATATTAAGATATTATCTGTATCATAGTCAGCAATCAAGTACTCTGATCAAGATTAGAAAGCTAAAAGCGTTATAATCTCTAAAATCGGTTCCAAAATGTTTTAAACGTTGTTAAATAAACTTTTCAAAAATTACACGAATTTTTAACAAATGCGAGTCATAAGTGACACAAATATGTAAGGAAAATAAAACTGTAGTGGTAAGAATATTGCGTAATAGGCAATTTGTACTAGAGGCAGATTCCAACATACAGAGTTGACGACTTATTTTGATTGGCTTGCATATTATTAATCTGCATTGATAAATAACTGTTCTGTTATACAGACATAGTTCATGACCAATTAATATTAGTGCGACGTAGCACAATAGCTCCAATAATTTCAGACAGTGCAATCTAGCTCACACGGATAATTAAGTACGAATAATAACTTGCAGAAATAACAAACCAATTCCAACGTAAATAATCGCACCACCACCACGCCATGTCGAGCAGAATAATTTCAGCTGTTTGTTGTGTAATAAATCATTATTATAGGACCCAGTTCAGCCTAATTAAAACGGTTGCCAGTGGTCGATAACAGGGTGCTTAGTAACAGAACTATTACAATGAAATAAGGGAGATTGGAGAGGAGAGACCGGTGGAGCAGCTAGTGATGAGACATCAGCTGAGAGAGACAGCCACCAAGTTAACAAACACTCACAAGAATCCACTCAGAACAGTCAAAGCTTTTAAAACAAACCACAGCATGTCCGTCAAATGAGTGGAGGTGAATGATACGATTGTGTTCTGTGGCCCAAGCGCTAACTAAATCAGAGAGACCAAGGCTGACGAGAATTACGGAGTGGTTTCGTGTGAATGAGAGCGGTGTTCCTTGCTGAATTCAATAATCTTACGAACTTATTAAAGTGTTAATTTGATGAAATATGCGTCTAATTAATCCCCGGAAACTCATAACCTGAGAACAATCCTCGGTACTTTCTAGAAGACAGCTCCGTGAAATTCCACAGTAGAATTCCACCGAAATGTCTGATGTATACTAACATTTTACCGAATTATACTATCCCAGACGTTTACAAACGAGGAAACGCAATAAAACATGATAAAAACACAAATCATGCTGAACCCAGACGTTAAGAGGCTAAGAGGTTAACAGGTTAACAGGTTAACAGGTTAACAGGTTAACAGGTTAACAGGTTAACAGGTTAACAGGTTAACAGGTTAACAAGTTAGTAG